CCCTGTCCTATCAAATCTCTATAATTACGGATGAATCCCTTTAATATCTCTTTAATTATTCCCACAGAATCCTCTAGCCACCATCGAGCCTTCAATTTTTTGAGATTCCTTTGCATTGTACTTTAGGGTGAAAACCCACTTACAGCTCACAAGCTTCTGTTTTTGGTTTATTCAAAACTTCCCATGTTCCATTTTTCTAGAGCTTTCATTTCCTCCAAGATAGCTTCTCTCCATCCTGGGGATTTCAAGGCTTTTAGGATGTTATTCAGGATACTGACCTTATCAATGCTTGCAATGAAGGCTTGATACCTAGGAGATAAGGCTACATATGACATATATTTTTGAATTGGGTGTTGTGTACAGACTTAGGGTTTTTCCTGAGACCAATGGGCATGGTTCGAATCACTTTTTGATGCCATTTGAAATCTCCCTTACATTATCATTTTCATCTACAATTTCTATGATATTCCTCATTTCCCTTTCTAAAATGTTTCACTGTCACTGATTCTGAATCAAGGCTTGCGTTGGATGTGAGAGGTTTAGTCCCTTTGCCTCGTCTTCCGTTTGTATACTTTGAGCTCTTTCTCTGAGGCACTTATGTCCTTGTCCTCTGCTCCTGCATTTTCTTTTGTTTCTGGAATAAAAGAAATAGACAAAAGTTCAAGAGAAGATGAAAGAATGGGAACACGAGAGTACTCAAAGAGCGACTAAAATCCATTCTAGTTCTCTCCCTGAATTGAAGGAGTAGTATAGAAGGACTCATTTTTCAGAGAAGTTGACATCATGACTAACAAGAGACATTTAGAGAAAAGATCAAAACATTTATAACCTTTTTGAGAGGAAGAGTAACCAATAAACCAACATTTCACTGCCCTAGGTTCAAGTTTGGATGTGGATTTAAGATGAATAAAGGCTGAACACCCAAATATTCATAGATTAGTTTTCAAGGTGTTTAAGTAAATGTGTCTCACAGAGGCGCTCAAGAGAGTTACATAGGATAACACCTTGCTTGGTATATGGTTGATAAGATAGGCGGAGTTAGAATAGCATCACCTTAAAAAATTTTTGGCATCTGAATGGTAAACATAAGGGCACGGGCAACTTCAAATAAGTGTTTATTTTTTTGCTCGGCAATTCCATTTTGTTGAGGGCTGTGCACAAGATGTTTTATGACTATGCCTCTTGCTTTAAAAAAAAATCACTCATGTTTTTGTTCAAGTATTTAGTGCTATTATCGGATTGAAGAATTTGTGTTGAGGTGTGAAATTAGTTTAGAATCATGGTGTAGAATTCAATGAATATAGAGGTCACTTTAGATTTTTTTGAGTAAATATACCTAATAGACACGACTATAATCATCTACAAAGGCAACGAACTATTTGGCTTGAGTTTGATTCAGAATACGCGAAAGGCCCCAAACATCACTATGAATAACCAAAAATGGTTTAGATGCTTTGTAATCAGAGCAGGGAAAGAAGAATGTGGTGTTTTTTGCCAATTCACAAGTGTCACAATAAAAACTAGAAATTTTATTTGATGAAATTTGAGGAAACAAATGACTTAAATACTGGACATTGGGATGACCTATTCTTTTATGCCATAACAAAAGGTCATTATCTTAGAGGCGGACACAAGATTGCACCGAATCAAGATCAAAGATTACTCAGTTGATTCACCAAGGTAGTAGAGCCCATCACATTCTTTAGTACTGCCAATCATCAACCTTGATGATAGATCTTGAAAAATGCAATTGGTAAAAAAGAAATGAGCATTACAATGGGCTTGCTTAGTCAATTTGCTGATAGACAACAAGTTACAAGCTAGATATGGAATATGAAGAATTGAAACTAATCATAAAAAATCAGAGATACTTATGCTTTCCTTTCCAACAATAGAAGAAGTTCCATTAGCAATATCAATTTTTTCATGCCAACTACATGGAGATAAGATGTAAACAAAGTAGAGTCCACAGTCATATGATCTGAGGCACTAGAATCAACAATTCATCAGGATTTATGGAAAGATGCATTCAAAGCATAATTACTATTAACCTTGCATAGCCATAGAAGCATATGTATAGTTTGAGATGAAGCTTTTGATCGTTGTAGATTATTTAACATCTCTAGAAGCATAGTTAATTGGTCTCTATCAATAGTGGGCATAGAACTAGGTCTGTCTGATGTAGTGTCAGAGTACTTGGTACCCCACATGCCTTTCCTTTGCGTGGTTTCCAATCAGCAAGCTTCCTATGGAGATCCTAACACTTGTCCTTTATATGTCCCAGTCTTACAATGATCACATGACACCTTCCCTTTTGTATCCTTTGATCGATGATCAAGACTCTTGCTGACCAAAGCAAAGGATTTAGATGAAGAAGAAACTAAAGGAGAGTCATTAAGCATCACCTTTCGATAAGAAGCTTCTTTACGAACTTCAGCAAAGGCATCACAAGTTGAGGGTAATGGAGAGGGAGCTAGGATTCTGTTGTGAACATCATTTAATGACTAATGAAGACTAGCCAAAAATTGAAACACACGCTCATCTTCAACACATTTTTTGTACCTTACACAGCAGCACAAGGACATGACCACTCCTCTTCTTTGTTGAGATAAATCTTCTACCACATTGCAATGAGTTCCAACCAGAACTCTATGAGATCACGATCACTTTGTTTGATCTGCCAACTTCTTGTTTTCAGATCATATATTCTTCTGGCATCATCTTCACCATCCGAATATGATTCTCGAACAACATCCCAGATATCTTTCACTATTGGTAAGGACATATATGAGCGTCGACCCTGTGAGGACATGGCTGTGATTAGCCATGAAGCCTCCATTGCATTTTCGGTCTCCCACTTCTGCTTGACCTTAGTGTCAGATTTAGAGAAATAGAGGCACCGGTGATTAGAGCCGGGAAAACAGGCCGAGCCCGTCGGGCTAGCCCGTTTAAAGCCCGTATAAGAGTAGGGCCGGGCTTGTAAATAGAACTGCAAAATGTAAATCGGGCTTTAACCGGGCCGGCCCGTTTAAGCCCGTTTAATCTAGGGCTTAAAAGAGCCGGCCCTGCAGGGCCGAGGGCCAGCCCGTTTAAGCCCGTATATGCATTTTTTTTAATTAATTATCATAACTTTCACTCTTTTTAGATTTGAAAAAAAAAATTAAACTAAATCTTACTCCACATCACATATTAGCTCATATTTACTGAGGATGGAAGGCAAAAAAAAAAAAGAAGGAAAAATAGCAATGAAGAATCACTGATCAAAATTATATCAATCAAGGATCACTTGTTGTCAAAATTCGAGTAGATACTTGTGGATTCGAGTTAGCCTTTATCAATAAGTATTCATTTAGATTTTAATAATAACTCATTTTAAATTAACAATAGTTCATTGTAGCTTGTTTTTCATTCATGTTTTGACAACAATTGATTCTTAATTGATATAAATTTCATATAAAAATCCTTGGCTACTATTTTCTAAAAAAAATATAACCTTAAATCCCTTAATTCATCTAGATCCATGATAATGATTCATTCAGTTCAACATTTACTCTTCTAATTTTGATTGGATGTTTGTTGGCTTAGTCGATCCATTGCTTATTACATTGCTATTATTTTATTTGTGTTTTTAGTTCATTTAGATGTTATTTAGTTAGTTTTTTTTTTGTACCTTTCTTGATTGAGTATTATATTAAAATGAAGTAATTTTTTATTTGATTAAAAAATTTTAAAAAAATAAAAATAATTAAAAGGGCCTAAAGCCCGCAGGGCCGGCCCTGAGCCTGCCATGTCAAGGGCCGGGCTTCAAATATCAGGGTCCTAAAGGGAACTCGGGCTTAAAAGGGCTGGCCCTTTTAAGCCCGAGCCCTTTAAGGGCCGGCCCTACAGGGCCGGGCCGGCCCTTTTTACCAGCTCTACCGGTGATGAAGCCCAAGTTGCCTATTGAAGTTTTGGGACACAATCAAAACAAAAGACCTGTCGACGGCAGAGCTCAACCTGTGCAGAGCTTTGCCTTGGGTGTGCAATGGAGGAACCTCGGCGCCAAGACCCATAGAAGAGGTTCTAGGGCTGCTTGACTTTGCTCTCTCCTCGCGTTGAGCGTCCCATTGAGTTGTCCAAGTCAGAGTCACTAAGCTCTAATACCATGTAGGCTTTTTGGATCAGAATAGTTGAGTATCTCATTACAATGTGTGTGATATATATAGTGCACATGTATCAGTTATAAGGGAAAAAAAATAAAATCAGATCACATTCCCTATTTACTCCCATATTCTTGGCTAATCACATCCCTATAAATTAGGAGTAATAAATAATAATTAATCTCTAATTTATCCTATTTCACAATTTTCTTTAGTGCTATGTGCATGGACTTATCCTCCAACTTTGCTCCTTTTAGTTTCTAATATAACTTTTCCTTTATCCAAAAATTTTCTTCCTAATATAAGAGAAGAGTAACCTTCCCATTTTTTTTTATTTTATTTTCTTTTTGTGTGCTTGCAGATGCTGGAGGGTCAAGTGGCCAAAGAAATCGGGATCGGTTCAGTTCAAAGATGCAAATGAGGTAATTATCAGCATGTTTTGTAAGTCCCTCCCCCTCTTTACCACATGCATTTATCAATGAAAGAATGATGAAATGGATGTTTCTTCAAATTTGCTGCAGCAAATCTTGTGCTGAAAATATAAAAAAGCATATATAGATATCTATATCTATATCTATATGTATACTCCCTAGTCTTATTTATAGGGCAGGAAGAGAATATTTATTTATGGGATACCTATATGATTTTTGTGTCAATCTTTACCCTTTTGCTCCTATTAAATACTAGGAAGGTTATTAAATGTTGGAGTATTTTATTTTGAAGTGTATATTTTATAGGGGTAGATTTAGAAACTTGTTGAATTTTTAGATAATTAATGAGATTTAAGGTTTTTCTTGGTTTTGATGAAATATGTTGGACGTAGTTTATAAATAGGACTGGAAGGAGTATTCAGATCCTGTCAGATTTTGGATGTTATCCACGAGAACAACATGATATTTTTGTTGGATATCTTTTGGTTTGCTTTATTGTTTCTGTTTTTATATTTCCTTTATTTTCATTCAGTTTTATGTTTTCAGATTAAACTTGAATCATATTTTTGTATCTTTGCTAGATTTTTCCATTAAAATATAGCAACCGTATAGTTTTCTAATACAAAGATGACAAAAGTATGGTTTCGTTTATATCATCTATAAATACTATGTTATAACTGGAAATCTATACACACGTCATTTTACTGAAATCTATACACAGTTATCATCTATCCCCGTGGTCCTATATGTAAATCACTTCTAGCTATCTCACCAGAATCAAGAAAGGGCAGTAAAATTATTGATGCTGTTTGAAAAAGAAATAAATTTTGTAGTTTACCCTTATTAAGTGCATCATTTTAAGAACATTTTGTTCCTCATATGTAACATTTTATTCTACTCCTAGAAAATTGCCAAAGGGTAAAATTGGAAGAAAGTAATTAATGATTGTAGCAAATAGACCGAAAAACTCTTATTATTGAATCCCAGAGTATGTACACTGATTTATACATGTGAGAAGATGATCAAATCTCCAAGAAATCAGGAGATGGAATCAGGAGAGGATATTCGGGAATAGGATATCTACAAAATCCCTATTTTTACTCCTCACAGTATCCCCTTTATTAATAAATAATATTTACATTAAATATAGGTCAACCACACTCCCCCTCAAGTTGGATCATAGATGCTAATCATGTCCAATTTGCTTATACAACTATCAAATGCTGGCTTGTGTAATCCTTTGGTGAGTACATCAGCAGCTTGAAGCTTTGTTGGTATGTAGACAAGGCACACAATTCCTTCTTCAACCTTTTCCCTTATAAAATGTCTATCAATCTCCACATGTTTGGATCTTTCGTGTTGAACTGGATTTAGCGCCATACTTATGGCAGCCTTGTTGTCACAGTACAACTTCAGTGGAAGATCAGTCTTGACGTATATCTCATCTAGTACTCGCCTTACCCATAGTACCTCTGATATACCTTGGGCCAACGCCCTTAGTTCTGATTCTGCACTACTCCTTGAGACCACTCTTTGCTTTTGACTCTTCCATGAAACTAGGTTTCCCCATACACATGAGCAGTAGCCTGACGTTGATCTCTTATCCTTGTATGTTCCTCCCCAATCTGCATCTGTGTAGATTTCTATTGATCGTAGACTTTGCTTCTTGAACAATAATCCTTTACCTGGTGTCCCCTTCAAGTACCTTAGGATTCTGTATACAGCTTCCATATGCCTTTCTCTAGGGTCACACATATACTGGCTTGCCACACTTACTGCAAAAGTTATGTCTGGTCGAGTATGAGAGAGATAAATCAGTTTCCCAACTAGCTTCTGGTATCTTTCTTTTTCCACAGGCTCATTCTTCTCTCCTTCTTCTTCACAATCATTTTCCTCAGGTTCAACTTCATCTTCTTGATTTTCCATATCTTTTATTAATTTCTTCCCCTTCTTCTTCACAACAATAGGGGTCTCTACAGGTTTACATCCCAACATTCCTGTTTCAGTAAGCAAGTCGAGAACATATTTTCTTTGAGACATATAAATCCCTTTTTGTGATCTTGCAACCTCCATGCCCAGAAAGTATTTCAAGTTACCAAGATCCTTCACTTCAAATTCCTTTCCAAGAGCCTTCTTTACTCTATCTACCTCTTCCTCATAGTCACCTGTGACAATTATATCATCAACATATACAATGAGAATACACCTCTTACCACCTTCCATTTTTACAAACATTGTGTGATCAGACAATCCCTGCTTATATCCTTCATTCTTCAAGACTTCCGAGAATCTGTCAAACCAAGCCCGCGGTGATTGTTTTAGGCCATACAAGGATTTCTTAAGCTTACACACTTGATTGTTCTTTCCCGCCTCAAAACCTGGAGGTAGTGTCATGAAGACTTCTTCCTTAAGGTCACCATTTAGGAAGGCGTTTTTAATATCTAGCTGCTGGAGAGGCCAATCCAGATTTACAGCCACAGAGATTAGGATTCTGATAGTATTAAGCTTGGCTACAGGGGCAAAAGTTTCTTTGTAGTCCAAGCCATATGTTTGGGTGAACCCTTTTGCCACTAACCGTGCCTTTAATCTGTCCAACTTACCAGCAGCATCATATTTTGGGGTGAACACCCACTTGCAGCCCACAACCCTCTTCCCTTTTGGTAGCTCTACAACTTCCCATGTGCCATTTTTTGTTAAAGCATTCATCTCCTCTATCACAGCATTCTTCCAATCTGGTATGCTAAGGGCCTCATATACATCATTGGGAATCTTCACTTTATCAAGGTTAGTTACAAAAGTGCGGAATTGTGAGGATAGAGTCTGATAGCTCACAAACCTTTGGATGGGGTGCTGTGTACAAGTTCTGGGTTGTTTTCTGAGGGCTATCGGTAAGTCTGTCTCCGCTTTCCCAGCTTCAGGAGCCTCTTGTGGTTCGAATTCTGGTTGTGCTTCAGGTATAACAGTCTCCCTTTCTCGCCATTTCTTCCTAGAGTAGACTATGGGTGTCTTTTCCAGTGCATTTCCAGCAATTTCAGTGCAATCTGAAAGACTTTTTACTTCAGTTTCTGGCCTAGGAGATTGGACCCTGAATTCGGTGGACTGTGGGTTTAAGAGTTCAGACTCTATTTGAGAGTTTGTTGGTGCAAGAATGAAGGGATCAGAATCATGAATGGTGGTGATTTCTTTACCCCTTTGCCTCTCACTTTCACTTTCCAAAAACTGAAAGTCACTCCCCCTCTCCCCCTGACTTGAAGTGTTTGGGTAAAAGGACTCATGCTCAACAAAGCTAACGTCTCGGCTTATGTAAAGTTTCTTGGTATGAGGATCAAAGCATTTATACCCTTTTTGTGTAGAGGAATAACCAAGAAAGATACATTTGATGGCTTTAGGGTCCAGCTTTTGGGAGTGATGGGAGTGAACATAAGTGGAACAACCAAAAATTTTAAGTGGTAGGTTGGTGTCAAGATGAGTAATGGAGTGAGATTCTTTTAATTTCTCAAGAGGTGTGGTAAATGAGAGGACACGACTTGGCATGCGGTTGATTAAATATGTAGCGGTAAGAATTGCATCTCCCCAGAAATATTTGGGAACGTTATAAGTGAAGAGCAAGGCACGTGCAACTTCTAAGAGGTGTTTGTTTTTCCGTTCCGCAATACCATTTTGTTGGGGAGTGTTAGGACAGGTACTTTTATGGACAATTCCATGTTCTGTGAGGAACATATCCATGGTTTTATTAAAGTATTCAGTGCCATTGTCAGTATGGAGGACTTGGATTGTGGTGTCAAACTGGTTTTTTACCATTGTATAAAATTGAGAAAAGACAGAGGGCACAGCAGATTTATCTTGTAATAGGTAGACCCAACACATTCTAGTATGGTCATCAATAAATGTAATGAACCATTTAGTATTTGTACGATTAGCAATACGAGTAGGACCCCATAAGTCACTATGAATAATGGAAAAAGGACGGGTAGATTTATATTCAACAGGTTTGAACACAGATCTGTGATGTTTAGCAAGTTCACACTCAGCACAGTGAAATGAAGAAATTTTATTAACTTGAAATTCAGGAAACAAACGACATAAGTATTGAAAATTTGGATGACCCATTCTCCTATGCCATAACATAAGATCATTAAAGTCTTTATTTGCAATGTGACACTGGATTCGAGACCAAAGACTACTCACGGTTGATTCATCGAGATAGTAGAGACCGTTATGCTCCTTAGCACTGCCAATCATCTTCCCCGATAAGAGGTCCTGAAAAATACAATGAGTAGAACAGAAATGAGCCCAGCAATTTGCCTCTTTAGTCAACTTACTTATAGACAATAAGTTACAAGCCAAGTAAGGTACATGTAAAACATGATTCAGTCTCATGACTTTAGAAATAACCACACTTCCTGTTCCTGCTATTGACGAGGAAGATCCATTAGCTGTACTTACTGTTTCATTCCCAGCGCTAGGAATATAGGTATTGAATAGTTTAACATTTGAGGTCATATGATCAGTTGCCCCAGTATCAACAATCCATTTGGGGTTACTATTAGAAGTAAGTAAGGCACATTTACCTTTGTGGCCACAGATGCAGTAGGATTCAGTTTCTGGTTTTTCTCATTCTTCTGCAACACACTAAGCATCTCAAGTAGCTTACCTAGTTGCTCCTTATCAATTTCAGGTATTGAGTCTGGTTTATCTGGCGGTACATCATGAGAAGTTTGATAACTTCGTTGCTTGCCCTTTTTCGGCTTCCAATCGGCTGGCTTTCCATGTATATCCCAACAAGTGTCACGGGTATGCCCAATCTTCTTGCAATGTTCACAAGTGACCTTCCCCTTTTGGTTCTTATGATTTGAATCACTGCCCTTGCTCACAAGTGCAGCAGTGTCCAAGGAAGAAGTTGGTGCAGAAATAGCTCCAGGAGTCATTACCTTGCGTCTTGAAGCCTCTCGACGTACCTCTGAGAATACTTCTCTAGTGGATGGAAGTGGCATACGGCTCAGAACGCGCCCCCGTACATCATCTAGAGATTGATTCAGTCCTGCAAGAAACTGAAACACCCGTTCATTCTCGACTTGCTCCTTATAACGGATTGCATCATTACTGCTAGACCATTCCACTTCTGTCATCAAGTCTAATTCCTGCCAGATGGTATTCAGCTCCAGCCAGAAAGCCGTGACATCACGTTCTCCCTGCTGCAGTGACCATGCTTTTGTTTTAAGCTCATATATTCGCGCCAAATCCTTCCCATCAGAGTATGAATCTCGCACAGCTTTCCAGATTTCATGAGCTGATGGAAGAAATATGAAGCTCTGTTGAATTTCCGGAATCATGGCATTGATCAGCCACGATGATACCAACGAATTTTCGGTATGCCATCGCTGTAGCTCCTGCGTTCTGGACTCTTCTGGAATTTTTGATGAGCCATCGAGGTAACCCATCTTCCCTCGGCCTCCAATCGCAAGTCGCATAGCCTGTGCCCATACCCGATAATTCGAGCCATTGAGTTTCATGGTAACCACGAGCACCGATGATCCGTCATGACCAGTGATCGACCCGAGGGGACTACCGGCCTTATCTGGATCGATTTGCGAGGACCCATCACTCTTCGACATTGGAGAAGTGTGAATCGGGTGCAACTCTTGTGTCTCGTCTTCGGTGCTTTCTGTCTCAGAGTTTTCGGCGTCGATATCTGCTAGTTGCTCTGATACCATGTAGCAAATAGACCGAAAAACTCTTATTATTGAATCCCAGAGTATGTACACTGATTTATACATGTGAGAAGATGATCAAATCTCCAAGAAATCAGGAGATGGAATCAGGAGAGGATATTCGGGAATAGGATATCTACAAAATCCCTATTTTTACTCCTCACAGTATCCCCTTTATTAATAAATAATATTTACATTAAATATAGGTCAACCACAATGATCAATCTTTTTATGTAAAATGGCTTATGAAAAGCACTATCAATTCCTTTGAGAAGGTGATTTATACAAGACCAGAGGGAGTTTTGCTAAAGGGATTGAAAACCTGACCTCATACCTATTTCCTCGGGTAAACTATTAGCTAATTATTGCTCATTCAATTGATAATAATAGCTACAATATCTAATACTAATAAAGTTGAGAATGAAATTAAACCTAGATTTTTTTTTTGAATAAAAAGTGGATATCAATATCAACCAACTAACAAGTATAGAAGGTCAGGCATAAAAAACGAAAAATAAAAAAGCTAGACTCTTCCATTATCCTCCATTCCTAAGTTTGGGGCATGTATGATAATCAAAGAGACAAAAACTATTGTCCAAGGTATGAGAAAATCTAGCATGGAAATTAGCATCCCTGTTTTGGTCCCTAATCCCTGTCAATGTGGCTGAAACCTTGAATTTCTACATAATTTCTGTTCTCCTGTGGCCTATATGTATAGAAAATATACTGAATAGAGCACAGCAGCTAAATGGATTATTCTTTCACTATTTGTTTGTCTTCTCTTCTCTTCTTCTGATCTAACTCAAAGACAATGTCAAAATTAATATTTAACTTATCCCACCCATTCTTCTCGATCCAAACGTAGGGCTAAACTGATATTACGCTTTACACTAGTTACTGCATCTCGCAGAGCTTGGATTTGCACACCGCGCGCATGCAGAGAAATGCACATTATCTGCACTATCTAGCCAACTTGTCATGAAGAGCCATTAGAAGTTGTTTGTCTGTAATTTGCTCAATGATCAATGTACCAACCTTATACTTCATGATTTATTTACAGGTTCTCATGTATTTAGGTGCTGGTGCACTGAGGGAAACGATTGAGAATGCAGAATTATATCCCATACGTGGATTGTTTAATTTCAGGGACTTCTTTGATGAGATTGATGCATATTATCATCGAACCTTAGGTTATGAGTTTGGTGTCTCAACAGGGTGGAGAAATCTTGATTATTTGTACAATGTAATTGCAATTTATTGCATTTCTATATTGTTAACTGTGATAGCTTTATAAATTTGACTTGCTAAACTATTTATTGAATAAAATACACCACAAATAATAAGGATCTTGTATTAATTCTAGGTTGTCTATAGTGTGAATGAAGTGATTCTTGAGACTCCTGACGTCTTGGATAACAGAGCTAAATTGTTCTCAATTTACATTCAGGTTATTGGAAAAAAATGTGCATTTAGGTTTCCAGGTACCGAACATAATTTAAATGAAATTTATGATATGTTAAGCAAAAGAAGCATAAATCTAAATATAAATCACAGTGGACACTCATGAGTTTCTAACCATTTCTCACGTCTCAAGAATTTATAATATGGACAGAAACAGTGCGCAAATGTTTGTATTCTTCATAACGAAATTTTCTTGACTAAACCTGTTGCTTCCCTATATTTTGCATTAGCATTTGACATTGCTTTTATGCCTTTGACATTTCCTTAATTTTCTGCACAGCCTGCACTGTTCTTGTTTCTTGCAATCTGGTGTAATAAAAGAAACGAATGGTTTATGATTTTCATCAGGCATGGAGTTGCATAGTGTATAATTTATTGGGCAGTTAATAAGATGCATCTTTGACAGTACTATGAAGACTCCACACAATCTTTAGTGGATGTAAAAGGGAACAAGTTTAATATTAGATATGTTAGATTGCTAAAATTGTGTTCATGATTCCAGATCTTAATTTGTATGAAGCACATTAGGCATCCATGTTTTATGCTTATTTTTTTGGTCTAGTTTTAAAATACTGTTTAATAAAGATAATGGTTATCACTTAACAGTTGGTACATAATGATAAAACTCTTTCTATTGAGCGGTGATGGATTATTCTGTTTTGTTGTATTCTGTATTACTTATATCAGGTCGTGCCAGGGGAGTTAACTATAGTAACCGGGGTTCCCAATTCAGGGAAGAGTGAGTGGATTGATGCTCTTCTGTGTAATGTCACTCGGATTGCTGGCTGGAAATTTGCACTTTGCTCTATGGAGAACAGGGTGAGCTAGTTCATGCTTGACTTTCAACAATAATGCTTTGAAGCACAAACACTTTCATGAAGTTGTGTTAGTATCCGTCACATCTCAGACACTAGTATTAGACATAATTTGAAACTTTAAAGCATATATGGATACTTCTGATTCTGATTTAGTTGTGCCATCAGGCATGTGCAAGTGTTGATGCTTCCAAATTTAATCTTGTAAGAACGTTGAGAATTTTATTCAGAAACTTCTGTCTGGAAGTAAAAAATGCTTACGCTTTCTAGGTCCTTGGTAGACATCAAGAAGGGATTCCTCTTAATTTCTCATTGAAATTAATAGTATCAATTACAAAATAGTTAGACACACAGCATATGGGGTCCAGGTACATTGTTGCATCTCAATTCAGGTGGGACCCACTCTTCAAGCAGGCCTTACAAACTTTGTGCTTTCTCTGAAATTGGCATGTTTGATTCTGGATAAATTGAGAGGATCCCTATTACAGACAATATTGCAAGGTAATCTAAGACGATCAAGGAAATTCTCATACGTAAATCAGTGTTTTATATTTTTTGAGTGATAAGAATGTGATAATCTTGCTACTGCCTTGTGTATTTCACTCACATGTAGTCGCATCATTATGGAATGTGAGAGATAGGAAGTGAAACTGATAGATCTCTGCTCTATATTAATTACTTTCAACAGAACTTAAATGCAAGAAGGAAATAAATGAGGAAATTCTGAGGTTTTTGATATTAAGACTTAGAAACCGAATCAATGTTACAAAAGAGAAGCTCACTGATTCTGGCCAAAACCCTATTCCCTATGGATGAAAATTACAACAAAAGAAATAACACAGCAATAAGAACACAGCCTCTCACTAGTGTTTGAGAGACCAGCACTCTCCTTCCTTCTAACTAGCTTTTCACAACATTCTTGAGTGCTCCCCAAAACAGCAACAACAAAATAAGAAAGCCAAAAAGGTGACCCACGTATTCAGACTGAATCTAAGCCACCTTACCATACATCATGACTTAATCCTTAATTTTTGGACCCTAAGGATATTAACTTTGATCCATTGGGTATTTCTTTTCTACACCCACCTGCTCCCTAGATCTCCTCTTATAAATCTGACCATATCTCAAGGTTACATCAGAAACCCTTTTATCAAATGTAGCCAATGAATTTTGACTTGAATGAGCTATCTTAAGTTTCTTTGGACCAGTTAGTACATGTGGGATTTTTGAGAGGAGAAATATGATTTTTCATTGATCATAATAGTATGATACAGAAAACTATATATACACAAAGCTAGGAGACAAGCAAATAAATGGCTAATAAATGCTAATAATTCTAATAAATCCTATTAACTCCTAATAATCATATAATAATATTTACAATAAATACAATATCTCCATACTTCCCCTCAAGTTGGATCATAGATGGCTCAAGTTGGATCATAGATATTAATCATGTCCAACTTGCTTATGCAACTTCCAAATGCGGGCTTGTGTAATCCCTTAGTCAAAACATCTACAGCTTGAAGGTTTGTAGGTAAATAAATCAAACATATGATTCCTTCTTCCACCTTTTCTTTGATGAAATGTCTATCCACCTCCACATGTTTTGATTTCTCATGTTGAACAAAATTTAAGGCCATGCTTATAGCTGCCTTATTGTCGCAATAAAGTTTTAATGGTGAGTCCACTTCGACATGTATCTCTTCTAGGATTCGTTTCAGCCATAACTCTTCCATTATTCCTTGAGCCAAAGCTCTTAACTCGGACTCAGCACTACTCTTAGAAACAAACCCTTTGCTTTTGACTCTTCCAGGTAACCAAGTTCCCCCAAACAAAGGAACAATAACCAGAAGTTGATCTTCTATTAGGATGAGTTCCTCCCCAATCTGCATCTGTGTAGACCTCTATGGTTCTCTGTTCTTGTTTCTGGAAGAATAACCCCCTACCAGCAGTACCCTTTAAATATCTCAAGATCTTATAGACTACTTCCATATGCTTCTTCGGTTCAGACATGTATTGGCTAGCCATACTTACTGCAAAGGCAATATCCGATCTTGTATGGGAGAGGTAAATCAGCTTCCTGACAAGCCTATGATATCTCTCTTTATTAGTGGTCTCTTCATTCTCATTGTCTTCTTCTTCAACCTATCATAAGAATCATCTTCTTCTTTTGACTCTTCCTTATTCTTCTTAGGCTTCTTTTTCTTCGAAACTACAATAGGGGTTTCAGCTGGCCTACAACCTAACATACCTGTTTCCTTCAGAAGATCAAGTATATACTTCCTCTGAGATACATAAATACCTTTCCTTGACCTCGCCACTTCCATCCTAAGGAAGTATTTCAAGGTATCAAGGTCTTTTACCTTGAATTCTTTGCCCAGAACAACCTTTACTCTTGTGATTTCCTCAAGATAATCTCCTGTAAGAATAATGTCATCAACATATACAATAAGGATAGACCTTTTACCTCCCTCAACTTTAACAAACATTGTATGGTTTGACAATCCCTACTTATAGCCTTCTCGCTTGAGGACTTTTGAGAATCTGTCAAACCATGCCCTAGGAGACCGCTTTAGGCCATATAGAGATTTCTTCAATCTGCATACTTGATCACCTCTGCCTCTATCAAATCCTGGTGGTGGAGTCATGTAAACTTCTTTTAGTTCTCCATTTAGGAAAGCATTCTTGATGTCAAGCTGATGGAGTGGCCATTCTAGATTAGCTGCTACGGATAAGAGAACTCTAATGGTGTTTAATTTTGCCATTGGTGCAAAAGTCTCTATGTGGTCGATACCATATGTCTAAGTAAACCCTCTTGTTACCAAGCGTGCTTTTAACTTGTCAAGAGTTCCATCAGCCTTGTACTTTAGGGTGAAAATCCACTTGCAGCGTACAAGCTTCTTGCCACTTAGCCTCTGAAAAATCTCCCATGTTCCATTCTTCTTTATGGCTCTTATTTCCTCCATGACTGCATTTCTCCATTCTGGTATTTCCAATGCCTCTTCAATGTTGTTAGGAACAACAACTTTATCTAGACTAGTGACAAAAGCACGATAACTTGGAGAAAGAGCCTTGCAGGATATGTGCTTTTGTATTGGGTGCAAAGTACAAGAGCGAGGTTGTTTTCTGAGAGCAATGGGTAAATCAAGATTAGATTGAACACTTACCTGTTTAGGACTTTGCTGAGGTGATTCAGGAGCTACTATTGGTTCTGACTCCTTTGGTGCTTCAAATACAAATTGCTCTCCTTCCTTGGATTTATGCTTTCGAGAATAAACCAACAAGTCTTTGTCTTTTTGCCTCTCTATATCTCCCCCTGATGTTGAATTATCTTCTGTGACTGGCACAAGAGATGGTGATGGTGGTAAGGGTTTGGGTGAGAGTGATGGTTCTAGTAATTGAGGTGGCAATGACTTTACTGGTATGGACCAAGAATAAGGAAGCACTTTTTCTTTGTTAATTTCTTGTTCCCAAGTCTGAGATTCACCTATACTCTCCCCCTGAATTGAAGATTAGGGTAAAAGGGCATATCTTCATGAAAAGTAACATCAAGGCTTACAAACATGTGTTTGGAAATAGGATCGAAACGTTTGTATCCCTTTTGAGTAGGGGAATAACCAAGGAATATGCATTTTGTAGCACGAGGTCCAAGTTTACTAGATTGATGGATGTGAACAAAGGCTGTACACCCAAAGACACGAAGAGGGATGTTGGTTTCAATATGAGATGTGGAGAAAATACTTTGCAATTTTTGAAGAGGAGTATCAAAAGACAAAATACGACTAGGCATTCGATTGATGAGATAGGTTGCAGTTAAGATGACATCCCCCCAATAAAACTTTGGGACATTACGGGTGAACATGAGGGCCCTAGCCACTTCAAGAATATGTCTATTTTTCTTTTCTACAATCCCATTTTGTTAGGGCGCATGGGCACAAGTGCTTCGATGGATAATGCCATGCTTGTGAAGAAAGGTACTCAAGACTTGGTTAAAATATTCAGTACCATTGTCAGTATGTAGAACTTGGATATTTGTGTTGAATTGGGTTTTTATCATGGTAAAGAAGTTGATAAATACGGATGCAGTCTCAAACTTGTCTTTTAGAAGATACACCTAGCAAACACGAGTATGCTCATCGATGAAGGTAATGAACCATTTTGATTTGGTGTGTTTTGGGATACGAGATGGACCCCATAGATCACTATGTATGGTAACAAATGGTTTGGTGGGTGTATACGGTGTTCTGGGAAATGATGTTCGTTGGTGCTTTGCTAGTTCACACACTTCACATTTGACATCATGGTTGGTAGGGCAAAGGTTTGGGAACAAACGAGATAAATAATGAAAATTAAGATGCCCTATCCTCTTGTGCCATAACAGAATATTTGTATCTTTAGAGGTCGATATAGAGTTACATACATTCGTGGCTTGATGGTGACTCACTCTAGCATTCCTAAGGAAGTAGAGTCCCTCGCACTCTTTAGCACGTCCAATTGTCATACCCAATGATAGATCCTGAAAGGCACAATGGGTTGGAAGAAAATTAGAACAACATTTAGATTGCTTTGTTAGTTGGCTAATAGACAACAAATTGCACACTAATTTTGGTACATGAAGAATAGATTCTAGAGTAATAGATTCAGAGATATGAATACTCTCTTTCCCCGCAATAGGAGCAAGAGACCCATCTGCAATTTTGACTTTCAAATTTCCAGCACATGGAGTCTATGTAGAAACTAATTGGTGGTTATCGGTCATGTGATCCGATGCGCTAGAGTCTACGATCCCTACTATTTCAGCCCTCGACGTTTTTAAGGCTTGAAGAAAATTACCTCTTTGTGCAAAGAAGACAGAGACTGACTGTGGAATTTGACTAACACATAGTGCATCAGATTCAACAATTTTTGATGACAGTTTTGCAAGTTTCATCATCCATTGTCGAAAGCTTATGAGCAAACGGATACAAATCAAATCAAGAAGACTAAGACATACCACTTCTAGGATTAGAAGTCCTATTTCCCTTAGAAATTTTGGGTATTTGTGTTCTTTAGGTCTAATTTGTTTTGACAGTATGCACATTCAATGAACAAGGCGAAGGCTTGGAAGACCCATAGCAGGAAAATGCTGAGACTAGGTCGGAAATGGTCCATCGTTGCTAGAACAAGTCATCGTTGCCGGAAACAGCTCGCCACGTGCCGCCACGCGCTTGGACTCTCCCTCTGACGCAGATTGGACGAGTGGCGCGTGTGACAGCCACACACCGTCGACGGACGCCAAACTTCGGGGTTGCGCCGATTGGAGGTCTCTAGTCCTTCCTTGGTCGGCTGTGAGATCCAATAGTGCCTCTCGTCCTCCATTAGGGTTATGTCTGTCAGCTAGTTTGAAACTGGGCTATACGGCAAAACAAAAAACTAGCTAGGGTTCTGATCTAATGAGCTCTGATACCATGTGGGATTTTTGAGAGGAGAAATATGATCATAATAGTAGGATGTAGAAGACTATATATACACAAAGCTAGGAGACAAGCAAATAAATGGCTAATAAATGCTAATAATTCTAATAAATCCTATTGACTCCTAATAATCAGATAATAATATTTATAATAAATACAATATCTCCACAGTACACATTGTATTGCATTGCAGTGCGCTGAAGTGCAATTGATAATCATACAGACACACGCAAGTAGCATTCGCATTATTATTATATAAATGTAGCATTCACACTAATCGCCTCAACTTTATTATTATAATAATTTTCACTCAGGTAAGAAATGTGCATATGCTTTATATCTTGTATAGCCATGGTCTTTAATTGTGCCTTGTGATATTTTTTGTTAGTCTTTTGACTGAATAAGGTCCACTTAGTCTATTGACTGACTAAAAGTAATTTCTCTCATTTTTGTAAGTTAATGATAAGAAAGCAAGGATTCAACTCCTCTCTCATTTTTTTCCTGTACATGAAAGGGATAAGTAATTTCTGTGGTGACTAGAAGTGCATATGATCTTCTCAATTGGGATGCCAAGCTTGCAATCATTTGCTTCCACATAATTTGTTAAAAGTTGATCTCTATTGCGCATGCCAGTTATCTAGATATATAAATCAAAATATCACTTTAATAAAATCAATAACAATAGCCAAACGCTATTCAGCAACCCACAATTTTTTATAGGTTGTGTAAACTAAACTATGATAAAGAATAACTCACATTTTCACCAAAATATGGAAAACACAACAAATGGCATCCTGGTACTAGCAAACAAGCCAGCCACTCAACCACCTGAACTCTGTTAAACTTGTTCGATTTTTTTCTTCGCCGGAAGTAGTTAATCTAGGGCTTGATTCAAGGTGAATGATATCCAGGTGCAAATACTGTGTTGACAAAACAGGGAAACCTAAAGTTTGGGGGAAACTAAATCAACCAAACAAAATATATCATTGCAAGACTTGAAAATGTTGTACATATCAAAATTGGTTCCTAAACCTTCATCCATATAAATATCATGACCACTCAGACATTTCTACCATTAAATGTGGCTGCATGAGTAGTTACTCTTTCTTTAACTTAAAAAACACTTCTCTAAATCGTTATGGCCCATACCCCCCCTTAAAAAAAAATCTTTAATACCTCTTTGAGTAAAAGATACTTACACAATTGAAATCCATGGTCTTTAATGTTCTTGAGTAATGTTGTCAGCATATATTATATAATCTGTAATCTGACTTTAACTACACCTTGCTAACCATTCCCTCACATTTTCTGTGGCATGTTCTGATATTGTTCAAAGTTTTAATTGACTGATCTACAGGTCAGGGAGCATGCACGGAAACTTTTAGAAAAGCACTTGAAGAAACCTTTCTTTGATACACGGTGAGCTTTGTGTATTTATTTGTGCTTTTGCTCATATCTTGGGTTATCTTTATCAAGGTTGGGTTTGTTATTGTTCATGTGATATGGGGACTTGAGCCACCAGCACTACTTATGATGAGGGATGCTTTTATCAATATATATGATAGTAAATATCCACTTGTTCCCAAGAACTTTCTTCCCTTTTGGTAAGTCAATAAGCTTCTAGTTTAGTTAGGTGTTGGATGAGGGCCTGCTGCCGTAGGCCCATATCAAGGTTAAACCCATTTTTCCTTATTTAAATAAGATATGTTATCTGTTATTAATATCTGATTTTATCTCTTATCAGCATTTGATTTGATTTGCCAAGATTATAGCAGAGATATAGGTGATATGTGTAGATTCTCTTCCTCTCATCTCTTCTATATATGTAAACGCTTTAGAGCTGTTCTACCTTAATTATAACATGGTATCAGAACTTTGATTTGTGATCAATGGCATATAGGCTAGCTTTAACAAACCAACCGCGAGTCCTTACCACAAGCAATGGCACAATATCGTTGGCCAACGAGGACTCACAAGGTATTGGTTTGAACGCACATAACATGAACTTTCCCTTCAGGACATTGAGTTTAGGGAACGATTCATTCTCGCAAGCTATGCTCGTTCATCTTCTCAATGGCAACAACTACCTCTAGTGATTGCGACATATTTTGCTGTTTGTTTGAGGAAAAAATCGCAAGAAATACCTCAGAGAATCCTCTAGTAATTACAGATGCCAAGTTCGATCTTGGTAAGTAGAAAACAATATGGTTATGGCTTGGCTCGTGAATTCTATGATCGTTGAGATTGGTGAAAATTACCCATTGGCAATTGTAGCCAAAGAAATATGGGAATTTGAGAAGCGCACCTACTCAGTCAAGGAGAACACAGCTGCCATCTTTCAAGTGAAGCGATTGCTTTGAAATCTCTTGTAAGGAGAGCAATCTATCACTTAATATTACAATGCTCTATGAATGGACTTTTCAGAAAGATGGGGAATACTACAAATAGATTGTTGATCGAGAAAGGTGCTTTCCAGTTAGTGTTTTAAGTCAATTCTCTAGTCCTCCTCAAAAGGAACACTAATAGTAGTTTATAGAATTCTTTGATACTTGAAGAAGACTCTCGGCAAGGACTATTTTTTTTTCCTGTAAAGAATGTCATTAGAAATGTTGAATTATTCACTGATGCAGATTGGGGAGGTTGAAAGAGTGATAAAAGATCAACTATTGGGTATTGTTCCTATGTGTGGGGAAATCTAGTGACCTAGAGGAGTAAGAAGCAACTGGTAGTGTTAAGAAGTTCAACAGAATCAGAGTACTGAGCCTTGTCACAAGGAATATGTGAAGGGATGTGAATCATTTGTCTCTTGAGGGAATTGAAGGTTGATCCGAATGATTCAATTAAGGTATGGTGTGATAATATATCAGCCATAAAGATTGCTAACAATCTTGTTCAACATGACCACATGAAGCATGGGCACTTCATGAAAGAAAAAATTGAAGCTAAGGTGATAGATCTATCTTTCATCCCTTGAGGGAACTAGATTGCAGACATTATGACCAAATCCTTGACTCAAAACAAATTTGAAGGTCTCAGAAGCAAGCTAGGAATGATTAACATCTATTTACTTGCTTGAGGGGGAGTGTTGGTCTATTAGATGAGGGCTTGCCACCATAGGCCCATATCAAGATTAGACTTATTTTTCCTTATTTAAATAAGATTTGCTATATGTTATTAATATTTGATTTTATCTCTTATCAACATTTGATTTGATTTGCCAAGATTACAGGAGAGATATAGGTGATTTGTGTAGATTCTCTTCCTCTCATCTCTTCTATATATGTGAACACATCTTATGAATAAAATTAGAGCTGTTCTACCCTAATCATAACAAAGGGCATTCATCTCATCTTTAACGGCTCTACTCTGTTTGCAGTTTGTAGTTCATTAATATTTGTTGGAATCTGCTCACTTGAAATATTAGCTTCAAAACTCAATAACCAAGAGACAACTTGTCATTTGAGATGTACTCACATGTAGAATGTTTAATGCACGACCTCTGCTCTTTTATGAGCGTATAGGCAAATCTAGTTCATCATGGTTTCTAGGTTAGACAGTTAGACAGCTCAAGAGGTGCGGTAGGTTTTGTGAAAATCCAAGTCTAAACATTGTAACTTCATCCTCATCAAATAGGATAGCTCAATTCTTATTAAAATAGAATATATAAGCTAATCTCGAACATTTAGGAAGATTATTAAAAATGACTGAAGAAAAGAAATTATCCTTAAACAAAGCAATCAGGATAAATGAATTAAAATCAAAATAATTTCCAACAATCTTAAACAACTTACAGAAATTTTCAATCTGCATCTGTGTTAATTTCATCACATAGGTTTCATAGCTTGGCACCTATCATCATACAGCTCCCTATAGTTTTCCCATGTCTTGAATGCATGACACTTAAAATACAAAATTCAAGCATCAAAATACAATGTGCAAGTATTAAAAATCAATATGAAACAATATTCATACAATTATAGGGATGTAACTACAATAAAGATGTGTAATTCTGTGCTCATTCATCATTCGAAATTGATCTAGCTCATACCTGATAATTGTGGTCAGGCAAGGCTGCGTCCACAAATAGTTTCGTGAAAATGATGTATACTTTTAAGCATAATTGTTTATTAGTATTATAAAATAGTTATATGGTAGTGCATATTAGGCTTTAAAGGGACAAGTGCATAATGTTGGAGTAGCAAAGATGAGAATGTTAAAATAGATATGTGGGTATACAAAAAAAGATAAGATCCATAATGAACATGTACAAGAAAAGGTTGGTGTGGCATCTATTGAAGAGAGGGTAAAAAATCGTTTTGAGATGGTTTCGACATGTGTAAAAAAGGTTGTTGGAGGTGCTAATGAAAAGAGTGGAATAGGTAGTCTTGAGTTATGTGAAGAGGGGTAGAGAAGGGTCAAAGAAAATACTTTAAAGTCGTTGAACGAGATCTTTTGGTTAATAATATACACAAAGGCGTGGTTGTTGATAGAGCACAATAGTGTCATGTAATACATGTAGCCAATTCTATTTAGTAGGTATAGTTGGGAAAAAAATATAACGTGGAAATATTATGTTATTATTGTTAATAATTAGCATTTATTAGCATTATTCATTAGGTTTTATTAGTATTTATTAGGTTTTATCTCTCTTGACGTATATATATAGGACTTGCCTGTACATTTGAAAATAGATAAATGAGAAATACAATTTTCCCTCTCTCAAAAACACCACATTGTATCAGAGCATCAAGCCCAATATCCAAATTAGGTTAGTTTTGGAATAGTTGACATGAGACTTCTTGGACAGTATGTAAGGGCATTTGTGTGGACAATGGTGGAGTAAGTTTGGACTCTCACCGCCACTCTAGACGTGCTCAGGAGGCTCCAAACTGCGAAATCTAGGATGATGATGATGAATGGTGGCACGTGTGGACCACACTCGCCACCCCTACGAACTGCGTCAGAGAGCTTTTGGTGGTGTTTGGCAGCTCCATTCAGGCCATGACCTCGTCGAATAGCGATGACGCACTCTCTCCAGCCAAATCCATGCAACTCCGGTGTATGGGTGCATTGTTTTCAAACCATATCAGTCTGTATGGTGTTGTTAGTGCCTTGTTTTGTTGTGTTTTGAGTTATATTAGGCTGTGGCTTCAGGTTTCAATCTATCACGAAGTCTTTCTCTTATTTGAAGTGCTATGGATACTTCTATATGGTGTCATCACTAATTTTTCTAGATCTTCACTGATAGCATTAGTGTCAAAAAAAGGGTCTTTTCTTCAGGCTTTAAAGACAACTCAACGTGTGGTGGTGTGGATTGTGGATTCCGGAACATTTGACCATATGACTAACTGCCATCAATTGTTCACCACTTATAACCCATATACTGGGAATGTTAAAGTGAAAATTGTAGATGATTCCTTAGCACCCGTGGCGGGAAGAGGGAGTATCCGTATATCATATTCTATTGTTTTGGAATCTGTCTTCCATATGGCAAGACTTGATTGCAATTTGCTTTCAGTTAGTCAATTGACTAAGCACTCAAATTGTTTTGCTAAATTTCTTCTGTCACATTGTGTATTTCAAGATCTATCATCTGATGTGAAAATTGGCAATGCTAAAGAGTACGAGGTGCTCTATTATTTAGAAGTCATTACTTGAGTGGGTAACTCATCTATTGTTAGTAATTATGTGTCTACCTCTAAAGTTAATGATTTTATAACATAAGAGGATGGGTCATCCTAATTTCCATTACCTTCAACAATTGTTTCCAATCTTATGCCCAAACATGAATCATAGTTAAATCCAGTGTGAGGTGTGTGAACTTGCCAAACACCATCGCATTTCCTTTCCAAGAGCCAAATGCACCTCCCAAACCATTCACAGTGACTTGTGGGGACCATCTCGTACTCTAAACCGTCCTCAAACGAAATGGTTCATTTCTTTCATTGATGACCATACTCGTATTTGTTGGGTTTATCTTTTAAAAAATAAGTCTGAGGCTATATCCACATTCATGAGTTTTTTCACCATGATCAAAAACCAGTTCAATACTAGCATCTAAGTCTTACATACTAAGAATGATATTGAGTACTTCAACCAATCTTTGAGTAATTTTCTCTAAATGCATGGTATTGTGCATACACGTACTTGTGCCCATACATCCTAACAAAATGGAATTGTAGAAAGGAAAAATAGACATATCCTTGAAGTTGCAAGAGCACCCATGTTCACTTGCAATGTGTCAAAGTTTTGTTAGGGGGATGCCATTTTAATCGTGAGCTATCTCATCAACTGAATGCCGTGTCGAATCTTATCCTTTAAAACCCCTCTCAAAAAATTGCAAAGTGTTTTTCCCACATCTTACATTGAAATCAAACTTCTGCTTTGTGTATTTGGTTGCACAATCTTTGCTCATATCC